CAAAGCAAGCCGCCGCTTCCGGAGGTGAGCCAGCGCATCACTCGTAGTATTGCTCGTCTCCAGGCGAGTTTCTCCATCACCCCGCGTTCTTAGATGACTAATTTTTTGATCTTGGTGTGAAACATTAGGGGTGTTTGGAACCCCCGGGCCCAGCGGGAGATTCATTATTTGTGTCGAGTGCATTGGGTGCAGATACTGATATTGTTGGAACCTATGGTCGAGGCAATGCCGGAGTATTTTTGTCATCGCTTGGGATTTGGGGAGATGATAAGGAATGAGGCGAACACAATTTGGTTGTTTGTCAATAGCTCATTTCAAATTCAGATGCTTGCGAGTGTTGATCAGTGGATTCATGTGCAGATATCGTCGTCGCAGATTCGTCAGCCTTTTTTGTTGTCGGGGGTTTATGGGAGATGTAGTATCGTTAGGCATCGGGATATATAGAGGTTCTTGGAGAAGAATACAGTCTCAGCTACTGGGATTCCTTGGATAGTTGGTGGCAATTTTAATGCCATCGAAGATATATCAGAGAGGTAGGGCCCAGGGTAGCCACGGCTACGATCGATTCAGGATTTTTCGGGAGCTCTCCTTGATGCTGGTTTGGTAGATTCCAGCTTTGACGGCCCTCAGTATACTTGGACGAACCAACGGGTGTGGGAGCGTTTGGATCGGATACTTTATAGTCGTTCGTGGGAGGAGTTTGCGGAGTCCACATGGGTTCAGCACCCCCGCAGATGTGCTCGGATCATGCACCTCTACCGGTTTGGGTTTCACATGAGCGCCATCGGGTTTCTTCAACATTTAGATTTGAGAGCATGTGGATTCATCATCACTCTTTCATGGATAGCGTTCGGGAGAGTTAGCAGATTCCAACGGGAGTGTCGGGGTTTCTTAACTTACGCTTGAATCCATGGAGGCTTAAGCAATCATTGAGGTGGTGGAATCGGCATGTTTTTGGAAATGTATTTCATATTTTGGCGGAGGCCTAGAGGGAGGGTGCGGAGTATGAGGTTAAGTATGATCGGGATCCTTCGGAGGCTACTTTGTTACACCAACAACATAGTGCGGCATCTTTGACACATGCCATTGCGTTGAAGGAGGTGTTTTGGGGGTAGAAGGCCGTATGTAGATAGGCGGTCGATAGGGAGAGGAACTCCCGGATGTTCATTCGATGGTCCGGGAGCGCCGCCGACGGGCATCTATTTTTTACATGCGAGATAGTGATAGGGAGTTTACAGAGCACTCAGGCATCAACGCATCGGCAAGTACCTTACTTTGCCTCGATGTTTGGGGAGACGGATGATACCGATACCTCGGGTATGGATGACTTGGCGGATATGCCACCACAGGTTCCACCGGGGGAGAACCAGCAGCTCTTGGGGCCGTCGACGTTGGCGGAGCTTCGGGAGGTGGTATTCTCGATAGACCCGGATAGTGTGGCAGGTCCGGATGGATTTTCGGTGGCTTTTTACAGGGCTTGTTGGGAGATTGTAGGTCCGGATGTGTTAACGGTTGTTTTGGAGTTCTTTTCGGGTATCCCGCTCCCGAAGTTTTATACGGCCACTACTATCGTCCTTATCCTGAAGAGGGATGCTCCGGAGTCTTGGGCTGATTATAGGCCGATTAGTTTGTGCAACGTGAGCAATTAGATCATCACGAAGTTGCTCACGGTGTGGTTGGGGACTTTACTACCGCGCCTACTTTCACCGCATCAGAGTGGGTTTGTAAAAAGGCGTGCGATCACGGATAATATATTGATGGAATCCAAGATTGTTCATGATTTGAACCTTAGAGGCACGTCGCATAACGTGCTTATGAAACTGGACCTTTTGAGGCATGCGTTGTTGAGGTTCGGTTTCGCGGAGGAATTCATTACATTGGTGATGCATTGTGTGGAGCATGCTTATTACTCCGTCTTTATTAACGGAAATCTTAGGGGATTTTTTAAATCCTCTCGGGGAATCCGATAGGGGATCCGTTGTCGCCTACTTTGTTTGTTCTTGCGGCGGATCTTCTATCGAGGGGTTAAGAGCGCCTCTACCATGGGTGCCCGGAGCTTTACTTTAGATGTAGAGGGGGGTTTCGGTTGTCGCACCTAGCATATGTCGATGATGTTTTGATCTTTGCGGTTGTTTGTGGGGAGAGAATGAGCTCTTTGACGACCTTTTTGGCCGATTATGCGAGGACCACCGGCCAAAAGGTCAACTGTCAAAAGAGTACGATTGTTTTCAGCAGACGATGTCCAGAGGGAGTCCGGGAGTAGCTCCAGACAGCTACGGGGTTTAGAGTGGCTGATCTCTCGATTACATATCTTGGTGCGCCCCTCTATGTAGGGAATCAGAGAAGTATTCTATACGAGGACTTTCTAATGAAGCTTCGGAGATACTTGAGCCGTTGGGATCGGGCTGTATTGTCACATGGCGGCTGATTACAACTTATTCAAAGTACACTGTTTTCTCTTCCACTGTATTTACTCCAGGTTTTGCACCCTCCACAGTCGATACTTCATGAGGTTGAGCAGATCTGTGTGCGGTGTTTTTGGGGCTCATATCATGGTCATGGCCAGCGTCATTGGATTTCTTGGGCGGATGCGGCACGGCCGCAAGAGGATGGTGGTTTGGGACTTCGACGTCTCTCGGATATGATTCATGCATTTTCCATGAAGCTTTGGTAGAAGCTTCGCGATGGCTCCTCCTTGTGTGTGTAGACGATGCGGCACAAGTACTTTCGCAATTCCTTTTCGGGCAATGCTCCTTGTCGGAGCTACTATAGCCCGGTGTGGAAGCGCTTGTGTCGAGTTAGGGATGAGGTTCAGTTGCAGATTTATTGGACTTTAGGTCGGGGAGAGTGTTATTTCTGGGATGATAGATGGCTTGGAGAGCAGCACCTCTCGACCTTTCGGGAGGGCAGACTACCGCCGCTGCCGCGGATCTTGGTTCGAAATATGTAGAGTGGCGATTCGTGGGATATTGTGAGATTGCGATCATATCTTCTCGAGTCGCTCATTCAGCGTATTGTGGAGGTCCTTATTGATAGACAGTCTGAGGATCGGATGAGTTGGATGGCCTCGCCATCCAGTACATTTACACATCCTCAGTTTTGGAGCTTTGCCGTAATACGGGGGTACGGAGTTGGTTGTCGGGGATATTGTGGTCGTGTATTCTTACTCGGACGATGTCAGTCATTCTATAGAGATTATTTTGACGACGGATACCGGCAGATGAGATTATCTAGCATTATGGAGTTTTGATTGTCTCACGATGCCACTGCTATCACATGAAGGTTGAGACTATCTCTCATCTTTTTATTAGTTCGCGGTTGTCCGGCGAGTGTGGGAGCATTTTGCGGTGCTTTTCAAGATATCTTTGCCGGAGACACATATGTTGCATTTATTTGTGTCTTTTTGGAGGATTTTTTCGGCACATTCTCAGAGTATTAGAGTGTATGTTCCATTGTTGATCCTATGGTTTATTTGGATTACTCGGAACAATGCGAAGTACAGGGGGCTTCGCGTATCTTCCGAGAGGATCATCTGGTGGATTCATTCACACTTGCAGAATCTTTGGCATGCTAGGATTCTATTACGTCGACATTGGATGGGTGATTTTCCTATAGCAGATGGACTTGGATTTCGATACCCCCTTCTGATCCCTCGGCCTCCAATTATGGTGCGATGGGAGGCACCGTCTCCAGGATGGTTCAAGCTTAACACAAATGGTGCTTCGCTTGGCAATCTCGGAGCAGCAGGAGCAGCAACTATTATCCGAGATTTGGAATGAGCAATTCTCATTGCTTTTCATACTCCGATTCCGCAGGCGACAACACTTTGGCAGAGCTGACAGTGATTCAGACTTGAGTAAGGATAGAGATTGATCGAGGATTGATGCCATTATGGATTGAGACAGATTCGACAACATGCATCTCCCTAATCTCCTCCGAGACGAGCCACTGGACTCTCTAGCGATGCCTTACGTGTATTCGGTTGCGGCTTAGGGATACGACTTGACAGATATCTCATATATATAGAGGGGCGAACCGCGTTGCAGATGTCTTAGCGACTATAGTGGTTTCTCTCCCGATTGAGCGGATACTTCTCCCAACAGATATCCCTTTGTCGATTAGAGGCCTCATTCGAGCGGATGCTGACAGTCTCCCGACTTTTCGTTTCAGATGACAGGCTTCATCGTTTTACTTGATTTTGACTTAGCTATACAGTTCATGTTTGCTACTGGAACTGTATAGCTTAGTAAAACTACATATGACTTGATCCCGTTTGGATACGTAGATAGCCCCCACTTTAGGTGCAACCATAGCTATATAGTCATTAAAAAAAATTTTAAAAAAATAATCATATTATTTAATATATTTTTCACTCATATTTTGAAAATGGCGTAAATATTTAATCATTATTTTTAATTTTCTAAGTTATCAAAATAAGAATTCCTACATTTGTTTACTTAAATAATATTATTGATTTTGTATGATTTTCGAATAACCACCAAAAACAAACTCCTCACTCGAGAAAATCCAAAATTTGGACGTCCAATCCAAAGTCAAAATTAATTATGTCAAGTCGAGGAGTCCACGTTTCGATATGACAGAGTTCGTATAATAATAATAATAGTCATAATAATAATAATATTTATAATAATAATGACCAAGAAGTTGGGAACCACTCCACAATTATCATACCAACCATATATATCTCTATATTCCCAAAAATAATTTAAATTTAAAAAATAGGTAGAGCCAAATCAGGACTTTGAAGGGGAATATATAATTCCAAGGAAATTATTAATGTTAACTTACCCTCCTTCCCTTGCGCAATTAAGTAAAATCATGATTCGTCGGATTCGGTCCAAATCCTAAACCATAATTTGGTGTGTGTGTTTAGGGTTTTCCAAACACTCAGTCATCGCTCATTTGTCTGTCTTTGTTTCTGTGTGATTGTGCCTGCCTGCAGATAAATACATACATTCACATAACACGCACGGTTAAACATGGCGAATCCGCCGGAATCCGCCGTCCAAGACTGTGCGCCGCCGTGGAGGAGCGTCGTCACCATCCCAATTCTTATGAAAGGGGTTTTCCTCGTGTGCTGTGTATTTGGCGCCTTCTCCCTGTGTTATTTAGCCTTCCCGATTTCCCGATGGCATCTCAATTGCCCCGAATGCGACGCCTCACTCATCCACGCCGCCTCCCTCCGGCGATTTGATTTTGAAGAGAAGACGGCGGCGACGGACATATCCCACATCCTTTTCGGCATCGGTGGGTCGGCGGAGACGTGGGGTCGCCGCCGGCAGTACTGCGAGCTATGGTGGGAGGCCGGCGTCACGCGCGGGTTCGTGTGGCTGGACAAAGAGCCCAAGGTGGAGGCGTGGCCGGAGACATCGCCGCCTTACAAAGTGTCGGAGGACACATCCCGGTTCAAGTACAGCAACTGGTACGGGTCGAGATCGGCGGTCCGGATGGCCCGGATTGTGAAGGAGAGCTTCGAGCTGGGGCTGGAGAAGGTGCGATGGTTCGTGATGGGCGACGACGACACTGTCTTCTTCAAGGAGAATTTGCTGAGCGTCTTGAATAAATACGATCACCGCCAGATGTATTACATCGGAGGCATCTCCGAGAGCATCGAGCAGGATTTGGTGCATTCTTACACCATGGGCTACGGCGGCGCCGGCTTCGCAGTCAGCTACCCGCTGGCGGCGGAGCTCGTCAGGATCCTGGACGGCTGCATTGATCGCTACGCGGAGTCGTACGGGTCGGATCAGAAAATCGGGGCGTGCATGAGTGAAATCGGAGTGCCTGTGACCAAAGAGCTTGGGTTTCATCAGATGGACATACGAGGGAGCCCCGTGGGGTTGCTGTCGGCGCACCCATTGGCGCCGCTGGTGTCTCTGCACCATCTGGACTATTTGCAGCCATTGTTTCCGGGCGCGAGCAGGGTGGAGTCGGTGAGGAAGATGATGGAGGTGTATGGAAGGGATCATAGTCGGATGCTGCAGCAGAGTGTGTGCTACGACCTGACAAGGAACTGGTCCATATCCGTCGCCTGGGGTTACAACGTGCAGGTGTACCCGTGGTTGGTGACAGCCAGGGTTTTGAGCACGCCATTGCAGACATTTCTGACGTGGGGGACTTGGAGTCGGGGGCCCTTCGTGTTCAACACTCGACCCTTGAGTTTAAACCCCTGCGAAAGGCCCCTCACCTTTTATCTGGACCGCCTGGAGGAGAATGCCACTGCCACAGCCACAACGACGTCGTATCGCATGTCTGCGCACACCGTGGAATGCCGGGACCACACCTACGCTGCTGTGAATGCTCTCAAGGGCTTCAACGTCGCGGCGGCGGTTCTTGATCCTGCGGTGTTGACTCAGGTGATGGTCTTATCAAATCTCAATCAAATCAAATCACTGCACTTTACTATCACTTTGGTGGATTTGATATATTCCAATATAATTATTTAATTATTGCTGTGGTCGGCTTTTGAACAGCGGCAAGCGCCACGTAGACAGTGCTGCGAGATCATCCATGAATCGGAGGGTGAGGGTGAGGGTGGTACTGGTAGCATGGTGCACCTCCGAATCAGAGAATGCCACCTCAATGAATCGGTAACGCCGCCGTAGACGTAAATAGATCGAGCTAGCCTGTACAATTCCAACCACCACCAAATAGTCAGCGGAGCTGCCCCACACTGCCACTGGCCGATCAGAATTTGAAATAATACAAAGGAAAAGATCAGTTTTGGTTTTCTTTTCGTTTCTTTTCTTTTCTTTCCTTTGGTTTGGGTTTGGATTTGGGTTAAGTAGTTGTGATAGCAAGCAGGAGCAGTGAATGTGATGAACGAGTTCGGTCTAGTAAATCTTTTATACATATTCACTCCTTGCAAAGTGATTTTGGCTTGGCTCTTCTGTAGTCTTGAAAGACCATGACTCGTGAAAATAGTTTGGACAGAAAAGAAGTAATTATATATTTCCCTCGTAAGAGTAGATCTAGTAATTGCTCTATCTTATCCCAATTTGCCAAAAGACAGTTATATATATATATAAATGGATGATTTTTGAACAAGTAGCTAGCAGGTACATTGTTGCTAGAGAATTTTAATAGTGATCCCAGATAAAGGGCTAGCTACATGCAGTAATAACTAGCTAGTAGTTGTTGTAAATGGGATTTCTTTCTTTTATAGACTTAGCTAAGCAAGCTAGCAGTGAATGGATTTTGTGCATGTTTGAATCCATCCCTCAAGCAGCAAAGCAAAGCCAAACCAGTTCGTGTTGTTGTGTTTTGCTTGTGCTTGTGCTTGACAAAATATATAGTACTAGTTCAGAACATTCCTTAACTCCCATTGGTGCCCTCAAGTTTTTGTGTATGTGATGGATCTTGTCTTAATTATCTTCCACTACCACAAGTGAAGTGCTGTTTAATTAGATTCTCTCTCAACTCTGATACTTGATTAACAGCTGGATAGCATTCTAATATTATTTCCTCCTCGTGTCCATGTATTTTATAAAGGCATGATTTTCTGACGTCTATTCTTCTGCAGATGGATGGCATCGATGAAGCAGGGCAGGGCAGTGCCTCCCTGCTGACAGCTCACCAGCGCAGGGACAGGGAGGCTTCAAATTAATTCTCCTCTTCTCCTCTCCTCAGCTCATCAGCTTGGTTGTGATGTATGGCTTCAATTATAATCTGAAACACCTGTTAGGGGAGGTTGATCTGATCTGATCTGAACGTCTGCTGCCCCCTTCAATTATAAGACCAGTGTAGGTCAACTGAGATCATCTAATTTGCTCAGCTCAGCTCAGCTGTAATGCTGTATATATGTTCAAGGCCATCTGCCCCAAGGCGTATACTAGCTATCTTTCCATGATTCTTCCTTCCACCTTCTACATATCTCATTACTTTCTGCCCTCGGAAATAATTAAGGTTGGGTTGTTTGTGGTTCTAAGTTCTGTTTTTTTCTTAAAAAATATCATATCAAATAATTATTTTTTTTTTTTATATTATCCTTTGTATGCCTCATATATTTTGAGTATATTACTTTAAATATTAGAATTTAGATAGAATTTAATTAATAAGTAATTAAAAAGTGTATTATAAAAATAATTATTATTTAGTAAAAATAATTATAGATTAAGATTATAACTAAATAATAATTAAAATTTAAAAAATTATAAAATTTTAAATTTTAAATGTGATTAAAGTATATAATCATATTTCCAAAAAAGAAAAGCCAAATGACTTAAGACGGACAAAAATAAAAATATAGGGATAAATTACGTGGGACATAGGGACTGCTGCAAATTTATTTTACATTCAAAACATGAGATCGCCCTCTATTTGTTTTAAGAAAATTTGATTTACATAGTTAATATATTTGATTAGTTAATGTAATATTTGTAATAAAATATTATTTTACTATTTTTATTTGATGTAGTATTGAAATAAAAGTTAAAATATTTTTATTTACATTCTTTTAATATTTAATATTTTATTAATTGAATTATTATTATTTTTTAAATTATTATATTGATTGTAAATCAATATATGTAATTAGATAAAAAATAATTAATTTTAATAATTTAAATACCAATTAACAGTCATAATAATAAAATTTTTAATATAAACAATATATCAAATTTATCGAATTTGATTGTTGGTAGAGATAGTTCGATATTACATGCTAAAATCTATAAGCATATCTTATATACTATACAAAAAAATTTTATATGCTATTTTAGCGTACCGAGATATTATACTAATAATCTGGTATATAGGATTTATAGATGAAAAATACTGAATTACCGAAATAGCGCATACGGTACCAAAAAATACTGAAAATATCAAATTTTGGTATACCGAACTTTTTCGGTATGATATTGATATATTTTTTTAATATACCAAAACAATTGATACAATATACAATATGGTCCGGTATTATTAGTATACCGTATCGAGTCATTTTACGCAGAAATATCAGAATCAAAAATAAATTTATAATTTTTAGAATATATTAACAAATTTATTTCAACATCAATATACTAAATTATCGATATATCGAATACTAAAATATCAAAATGTATATGATATTTTCAGCATATAATAGCAACAATGTTAAAAGTATATCTAATTACAATACTGAAAAAGTTCGGTACGGTACTATATCATATAAAAATTTACGATATACAATTGTTGTTTTGTTTTTTCAACAAAACAAGGTAAAATTCGAAAATATTATCGAACTTGAATAAAAACTTATTTGTAGCACAAAGTAGTGAATGCACCAAATAAAGGGTGACCCCCAAAAGCAAATTTGCAATTGATTTTTTTGTCTGATTTTTTTTTAGAGATCTTTCCTGAATGGACCTGAATCCTTAAATATTTCCTAAAGAGACATTTTAAAAAGTCTCCTGGTCGGTTAAAGCAACCTCCATCAACCGCTCCACACATTACTCCCCCACTGACACGTGTCTAAACCGTCTCTCTAACAATTCCCGCTAGCTATAGGACTCATCTGGCTCATCCGACTGCCCCCTGTAGCGCCCTGCCTCCTTAAACGGGCGGCTGGCCCAACCGACTATCTAGCCGCCGATCCTCCTACCCAAAGCAACCCTTGGTCCCTTAGACGGACTGCTGGCCAACCGACTGCCTCGAGAAACCCTTTACCACCTGATGGGCCCGAAGACGGGCCCGCATCTCCTCTTATTTTGGGTCATTACCCTAATTATAAATTTCATACTCAACAACTTGCCCCGCCGCCATCTGACTTCCAAACGTCACACCTCGATCGCCGCATGACAGAACGTTTGGGAGTCTGCAACCTATGTAATAGTGCCGGCATGACTCTGTTTCCCATCATATCAATGGGGTTTTAAATACCCCATTCTGAAATCATTACCCCTTATTTCCTTTAAAAACCTTTCCATCAACTTCGCTCATTTCACGCATCCATTATCGCAAAATATTTCCAGAAAAACCTCTCATCTTCTTCGCTGGTGTTTCTACCTCATTTCTACAACTTTTATTCCATGGCGAACCAATACGTCTCTGCACTCCCCTTTGATGGAAATGTCCCAGAGGTGCCCTTTCTAGCTACAAAGGTACTGACTCCCACCATCCGCCCGTACTGTACTACTCTTGAGGACTCCAGTCGGATGAGGGAGGTACTTGAAGTAGGAAACCCCACGCTATCAACAATCCCAACTACAATGCTGTTCGCATCCATGACAGCATCAAAACACATTTGACGGACCCCAAGGACCCCTACCGCACCTAGTACAACAGGGTGGCGAAGCACTTCCAGGAACAATGGAAGCGCCAACACATCGACCAAGCGATATTCCTTTCCACTTTTCCATTTCATTTGCACGAGAAGGTGCTCTTGGCGATGTCGGCCTTCTGGCACTCGGAGATGGGTGTCTTTTTTCTGCCAACGGGTCCCATTGGCCCGACTCTCATGGATGTGGCCATGGTCGCCCATTTTCCCATCGTGGGTGAGGACCCTGTGATGGGAGTCCTGGATGGGCAGGAGCCAGAGGCGGACCATTTGGGCTGGTCCTTAGCTGGAGTGAATGAATGGGGCTCGACCAAATTTGCAACTGACCAACAAGGGGCAGCAGGGACCCCCGTGACCGACCGCGAACATGTCGCCTTCCTCCTCTTCTGGATCTGTAGGTATGTCATAGTCTCCCCCTCCAAATGCGTTCTTTCTTCCCATCTTGACCTGGCTATCCATATAGCTTCAAGTCGTTTCTTTTCTCTTGGCACTCTTTTCTTAGCCAATCTTTTTTAAGGTCTTTCTAAGGTTAGCACCTGTCTTGTAGATAGTGATAGTAAGAAATTAGATACCGCCGCATCGGGCCCTTTTTGGTTCCTGGAACTTTGGTTCCATCTTTATTTTCCCGACGCGTTCCAACTTGGCCGTCCTTCTATTACCCTAACACCCAACAAATCTTTGGGATTAGCCCTTAACCGACTTTGCCTAACCCATGGCAACCTCCAATCATCCGACCCATCATTACCGCCATCCTAGCCGACGACCGCATCAACTCTCGTTTTTACATATATAGGAAGTATGCTTTCTATGCGGTTGGTCTTTTTTGGCCCTTTCATGTGTCTTCACCCATGGCCGAACCTGACCCTCTTCCTCATCCGACCTATTCGTTTTCTTGGGATTCTGCCCTTAAACCCAGGTCTTTATTCGTCAGTAAAAAATTTGATAAAAATGGCCAAAAATCATGTTATACTTTTAGTTATCAGTCTCAATTTTTGGCACGCCAATTCGGCTGCCGCCAAGGTTCACCTGGCCCTATCGCCTGTCCTCACCTAATACCCCAGAGTCCGGACGGGCGGGTCATATACCCGAACTGATTCCTTCTTACCTTTCCCAACTCACTACTTATATAACTTCCAATTCTTACATTCCCTTCCATTCTTCTCCCGAAACCGTTGAGACCTTCCGCGAATGGTGGTCGGTCACACGGGCCCTGCTTGCCCCGGAAAAGGATCGGTTGCTGGGTGTTCTCCTGCCCCAGCCTGCCTTGGTATTAGGGGCAGCCCGACCTATCAGCGCCCGAAGAAAAATAGCCGCCCCGGGAGCCGGGTCAAGCGCCCCAAAGAGGAAAAGAAAAGCTTCCCAGATCTAAACAGTCCCGACCTCCAGAACAGACCAACAGGCCACCGAGGACTAATTGTCAGTT